TGTTTTTGCTGACCAGAGCCGGCCTGTTAGTACTTAACCACGTCCACTGGGCAGCCAGCATAAACAGAGGCCTTCCCAGAACTGCCTGGCCAGACTTGTTTTTTGACCAAGGAACTGAGAAGGGGGGGGGGAGAGAGAGGAAAGGGAGTGTTCGCCCCCAAAACTTATATAGATGGATTGCTGTTCCTGTTAAAATTCGTCATTTGGATAAATGCTGGGGGGGGGAGAGAAATGGGCTTTGAATAGGAAAAGCAGGATTGCCCAAAGATGAGATCCAGGAATAGCTCTGGGTTGGGAAATACCTGGACATTGGGGGGGGGGGGCAAAGCCCGAGGGATGTGGGGTTTAGGGAGGGGAGGGACCTCAGCAATGTTCCCTCTAAGCTGAGTTAGTGTGAGCCAGCTCACAGTTTTTTAGCCTCCGGCTCACCCATTTTTGTCCTCGCTCAGGAAGGATGGCTCCAGAGCAAACTGATTTATGAAGCAGCCAAATTGCTCGCTCACAACTCTAATGTCAGCAGCTCACAGAGGAGAATTTTTGCTCACAAGACTCCACAGCCCGGAGGAAGCATTTCTCAACAGGGGGTAAAACCGGACAGTCCACCTTCCAAAGCAGCCATTTACTCCAGGGAAAGTGATCTCTGTGGCCTGGAGACTACTTGTCATTCTGGGGGGGGGTCTCCAGCCACCCCCTGGAGGTTGGCCACCTAAGGCTTTGGAGAAGAAGGGATCAGTGCAGATTTCCTTGGACCGATATGATCCTTCAGGACAGAGGTACCAATTCTGACTCCACCGAGTCTTAGGAAAAGACAGACAATAAGAAACGAGGAACCACCATACACCGAAAAGCAAACCGTTCCAAACGTTCAGCATCCAGACCTGGATCTGTCTTAGGGAAGAAAGTCTTCCAGAACAGAACAGATTCTGAAGCTCGATTCAAATTCCTTGGGAATTCGAATTCAGTACCACTGTGGGAAGTGGGAAGAGAGAATCTCTAGCCCTGTGTGTGGCTTGCCACCCTTGGGCTGGGATAGGGTTGCCAAACCCCCCCGGTTTGCCAGGGGCCAGTATTCCCTCTAAGCTGAGTTAGTGTGAGCTAGCTCACAGTTTTTTAGCCTCCGGCTCACACTTTTTTGTCTTACCTCAGGAAGGGTGGCTCCAGAGCAAACTAACTGATGCAGTAGCCAAATTGCTCACTCACAACTTTAATGCCAGCAGCTCACAAAGTAGGATTTTTGCTCACAGGACTCCACAGCTTAGAGGGAACATTGCCAGGCCCCCCCCCCGTTTTTTTTTGGGGGGGGTTCTACCCACCCCCAACATTCACAGCCACCCATCTCTCTCCCTTTAAGGGTGTGGAACCCGTGTTTTCTCCCAAGCCCGATCTCCGCAAGCTTGCAGGGAAATGCCAGCTTCGTGCTCTTAAAAGGGAAACGCGGCTGCTCTTAAAGGGGAAACGCCGGCTCCTGTATTTAAAAGGGAAACGCCGGCTCCTTTAAGTGCAGGGAACTGCCGTTTCTGGAGATCCGGCGCACGGGCGGTGGGGGGGGCGGCGGACGTCCCCAACATGACGTTATCACGTCGGGGATGCCTCACCCCCTTCAGGAACGCCCCCCAAAGTCCCCCGCTGGGGGTGGAAGATGGACTTGGCAACTCTAGGCTGGGAAATTCCTGGAGATTTGAGGGTGGAGCCTGGGGAGGGCGGGGTTTGGGGAGGGGAGGGGGCTCAGCGGGGCACGATGCCACAGACTCCGCCCTCCAAAGCAG